AAAATGCAAGGGATACAAAAGGCCCCACCAGCTTTTGTACCATTCTATCACTATTTGTAAACTTCTGATGTTCAAAAGAGGGGGAAGGAGGAAATGCAAACAAAGTGGGGGAGAGAAAATGGGGTGGGGTGGGGGGGGGAAAAGAGAAACAAAATCCTTTTGGTGATTGTGTGTGACCTAATTTGTGATGGGCTGGAATTGTTGTGTGAAATGTCACGAGTTGAAAGTTCTATCTGCTGCATCGTTTACCTGGCTCCAGTTTCATGTACTGTCACACAGTGTAATTTATAATCCTAATAAAAACTGGCTGTTCCTAGGGCTGCAGCAAACTTGCTCCTCACTATATTTTTAAATTGCAACTTTCTTTGTAAAATGAAACTTTGGGTAAGGGGGGACAAGTGTGAATTCTGAACAGCAATGCACATAACATGCAAGACTGCCTCTTTTTTGGTTTGCTGTCTGCACTGGCTATATTCGGTTGGCTAATCCTGGATTCAAGCCGCCACATATTTTATCACCTGCTCAAAAATATCCAGTTCTCCTTTATCTTCAGCAGGAAACATGCAATCCATCCCCACGGACCTCTCTAATAGGTGCTGAAATGGGTCACTTGGTACTTTGAGCCTGCTCCACCAAATACATGAACAAATTAGCTCTATCTTTAAGGTGATGTAAGAATTAAATATTTCCTCTAAGGGGATAGTATGAAATAAAGGGAGAACTTTCGTGGTGGTAAAATTTTTCACAAGGCTAGGGAGATCTGAATAAATAAGACTGAAATGAGGATCTATCCACAACCCACTGAAGTACAGCGTAGCTATGGCATAGGTGTGTACTTGTAGCCATTTTACTTGGAGGACCAGTGATGCTAGTTTCATGAGAATAGATTCAGCCAATTAGAGGGGGCTGGTAGATGGGGAATGGTCAAGCCTCCATCTGGAGGAAGAAGCAGAAAGACCTCAGACTGTCCTGATGGCTGATGGGCAGTAAATGCAGACCACCAGAAACTGCCATTAAGTAGCACCTTGCCACACTGCTCAGTAGGAGTGATTCTTGACGTAGCCTGTGAGATACTGTGACAGTCTGGTCAAAGGGGCAACGTTTAAGAAGCTGAGTGTACAGAGGGAGGGAATTCCAGAGCTTTGGCTTTGGGCAACTAAAAGCATGGTCATCAATGGCAGAGCTTTTAAAAGCCAGGAATGTTCAAAAGGCTAGAATTGGAGCATTGTAGGTATCTTGGAGGGGTGTGTGGCTGGAGAAATTGCTAAGATCAGTAACCCAGTATCCTCCCCATGTGCGTGATGCAGCTCCAACAGCACTCGAAGCTTGACACCATCCAGAAGAAAACACCACATTCGACTGGTATCACCCACCAGAATCAACCACGCGTGCTCGGTAGCAGCAGTGTGAACCATCTATAAGACGCACTGCAGGAATTCACAAAAGACAACCACTTCCATTTAGAAGGACAAGGGCAACAGATACTTGGGAACCTCACAACCTGCAGGTTCCCCTCCAAACCACTCACCATCCTGACTTGGAAATATTTTGCTATTCCTTCACAGCAACTGGACCAAAATCTTGGAATTCCCTCCCTAAGAGCATTGTGGGTTTACCTAAACCATATGGATGGCAGCAGTTCAAGAAGACAACTCACTGCCGCCACCACCTCAAGTGTAATTAGGGATGGTGTAATGAATGCAGACCAACCGCCTATGCCCATTCCCAAGAGTGATTTTTTTTTTTTTTTTTTTTTTTAAATCATCAAACAGCCATGAAGGAATTAAAGCAATATAGGAAAACTATTTCTGTTTGTGTTCTGCCTTTATACCTTAAGTGTGTGGGTTCCTTTTGAGAGCTGATATAATGTGTGTCTGATCTAAGGAGAAGAATCGTGTAGAATAAGCAAGATGTAGTTTATGCCTGCCTCCAACTAGTTCCAGTTTATAAAGAAAAACGGGCTGTACATTACCACAAGTATAACTTGGGTCTTTCTCAAGATCCAACTTAAATTTCACCAGGTTATCTTGGTTATCTTGGCATCCCCTCAGTGTGTGATACTTATTGCACTCAGTGAAGTATTAACCTTTTCCGTTCATTCCAGACCCGAATCTACCAGTTTTGCAAGGGAATTCCGAAGAAGGGTCATTAACAACTTGGAGCTGGGTAGAGTTCAAAAACTAGGAGTTATAGATTCAAGCTAAGTGACAGAAGGATTCGAGGGGATGTGAGGAAAACCTTTTTTAAACACAGGCTGGTGATGTCTAGAACTTGCTGCCTGAGTTGGTGAAGATGGAGACCCTAAACTCAAGCACCTGGATCCACACTTCAAGTGTTGTAAGATGCAGGGTTATGGGCCATATGCAGGAAGATGGGATTAGAACGGGATCTGGATGTCTTTGGTCGGCTTGGAAAAGATGACCCCCTTCTGTGCTGTATCATTTCTATGGTTCAATAGGTAATTCAGAAGGGCAGACAGGAAGAACTTTTACAGGAAAGGTCATAGAATCTGAAACTCCATTCCCCACAAAAGATTGTGAATGTTGGAGGTCAATGGATTGGTGGTCCTTAACCTGAATCAACTTATGTTTTCTTTACAACATTCCCACAATTGATCTGAAATGTACAAAATTCTAATATTAGAAACAGGTTTTTAAATAAAGGTAGGCCTTCAATATTAATTAGTAAAGTATTTCAGGTATATGTGGCTGCAGCTTCACAACACCAAAGCTGTAAACTTGATTCACAGTCCAAAACGTAGTTCTGCGTACCACACAGTAGAGCAATATTGTATATGAATTTTTGTGCTGATGCAATGTCAGATATGTGGGCCCTTTTGTCCTAGCAGCTAGCTGATCAAATCAAATAGGATGTGTTATTGGTTGTTGTTATTTTTATTTATTCACAGAACGTGGATGTGACTGGCTGGGTCAGCATTCTTTACTCTCCCCAACTGCCCTTGAAAAAGTGATTGTGAGCTGCCTCCTTGAACCACTGCAGAATGGTTGTTGCAGGTATACTCAGTGATTTTGATCTGTGATGAAAAAGGAATGGTGATAATAGTTCCGAATCAAGATATGTAGCTTGAAGGGAAACTTGCAGGTGGTAGTTTTTCAATGCATCTGTGCCTTTGTCCTTCTACGTGGTTGATTTGGTGAGTATTGTTTGAGGTGCCTTGGCATGTTGCTGCAATGCATCTTTGTAGGTACACTGGTATTCTCTCCACCACCAATCAAGAGGTCTACTTTGCCCTGGATGCCACTGACCTCCTTTAGTTTTGTTGGGGCTATACCCAAGTGTAAAATATTCCAACACATGCCTGAGGCACAACTGATCAAGAGGGAACTGCTGCCCGGTGCAGGTGCAGGTGTAGGTGTAGGTCGTACGGCTCAGCTGTGAGATTAAGACTAAACACAGTCTACCAATGGGGAAAACCAGCCCTCAAAAAGGAGCAGGATAGTGAAAGCATCTTCTCAGCCACCTGATGAGGTTGATTGCTATTATCACTTGTTACAGGAACAACAGGTGCCATTAATGTGGTGCCTTCAATGTAGTAAAATATGCAAAGCCCCAGCCTTATCAGACAAAAAAGACATCAAACCATGTAAAAAAAAAAAAAAAAAAAGTCAGTTTTTTTTTGGGAGGGTCATAAAGAAAGGGTGTGAAGAGACGGAAAGAGAATTCTGGACTTGTGGTCCAGACCTGTGAAGGAATAGCTGCCAAGTGGTGCGGTGGAACATCTCTCCTCTGTTTAGATGTCTCACTTGTACATGCAAAATACATCCTTTACGGATTCACAAAGCTCACTAATCATCTGCATTTTTGCAAATTATCTGACTTTTGGTTCCAGCCAAGGTGTGAGCACTGTGGGGACAGTGTAAAAACAGATTAACTTACTCCGAGATAGTAGGAACTGCGGATGCTGGAGAATCTGAGATAACAAGGTGTAGAGCTGGATGAACACAGCAGGCCAAGCAGCATCAGAGGAGCAGGAAGATGACGTTTCAGGCCTAGACCCTTCTTCAGAAAATCTGAAGATAAACATAGAACATAGAACATTACAGCGCAGTACAGGCCCTTCAGCCCTCGATGTTGCGCTGACCTGTGAAACCAATCTGAAGCCCATCTAACCTAAACTATTCCATTATCATCCATATGTTTATCCAATGACCATTTAAATGCCCTTAAAGTGGGCGAGTCTACTA